AATATATGATGCAAGAAGCGTAATTAAATAAATGCATATGAATTATTCTCATAATTCCGGTCCTCTTATTCCAAACCAAAAACTCCTAAAGTGAAAAGATTAAAGTTTTACTCGGGTAGTTAGCCAGGTAAGGATAGTAATAGAGGTTGATCAAAGATTAATTAAGTACCTCGTTCCTTGCAGAGCGCATTACGCAACCCTTAAACCTTGCCTTAGACACCAACTAATCCAAGAAGACTTGAATCGGTTCACTCAATGAGTTTTTGTTTCTTAACAGTAACAAAAAACTTTAAAATATTTTCTGCAAGCATTTGATTTGCCTAAGCAATTATACTGCAAGCATATGTTGGATAAGGCCGAGGAGGGGTTTACCTATTGATGTTCGAACCTCATGATTTTCATGTCTTGAGAGTAAAACTCATCTGCTGCAGACAGCTGCCACTTAAGTTGCTGAACAAATCTGCATTCACTTTTACCACCTTCTGTACTAAGCTTATTAGATGTATAAGCACTTCAAAGTATGGAATTATTAATAATAGAAGGTACCATATTCATAGTTTAAAGAAATGAAAGCATTAAACCATGAACAAATCCAGATATTTCAAAGCATCTATTTTGTTTTCTTTATTCTTGTCAAAACCATGCATATGAGACTTTCAAACATAAATAAGTATTAAAAGCTCAAATTATTTATTGGTGATCATCAACGTTCAAATACAGAGCATATTTTCTTTTAAAAAAAACATTTTGAACAGAGAAATAATTCCTCCTTAACAACATATAGTGGAGGTAACCTCATTTTGTACTTAAATTGGCGATCTGTTATCAATTAATTATAAAATCAATTACAAGTTGCAATTAATTGTAATTATTTAAGCAATAATTATCAACAATTAAAAAAACAATAAATGCAGTAATTAACAGTAATTAAAGCAATTAATTACATGTTTAAGGTTATTTTGGATGAACAGTAACAATTTTAATAAACAGTAATGTTTAATATACATGTACAATGAACCATAAAGAATGGTAACAGCAAATCTCGTGGATGCACAATTTTTTTTTTAAATTGTATTTTTCCCAAGTGAATAGTAAAATAAGGTTCTGGTGAACAGTACCTTTTATTTTCTAATAGCTATTTAATAGATAACCAAATGAAAGTAGCTACAATTAATCATATTAGATGAACAATATCAAAACAGATTATTATTATTTTTCGATGAACAGTAATGTTGATGAACAGTAACTTTTAACTATTTTTTCCGAATTAACAGAAATTATTCAGAAATAATTAAAAGCAATTAATTATAGATAAACTTATTTCGGATTTAATAAATCAACAGTTATATAATCAATCTTCTAGATTGTTAGAAATTTATCAAAATAAATTAAGATTATATCTTGAAATAAATCCGAAATCAAAATAAATGAGAGATAAGAAAATCAGGCCTGACGGGAGCAGTCGTGTATTCACTGCCCTAGAAGATTGAGGACCCGCCTATCGCCCTGGCGCAGATGATCCCCTCTCCCCTAGCGGTAAAAACCCCCGGAATCGGCCGGCCTCCGTACTCGGGCGAGAGTACAGAGCTTCAGCTCAGATGAAAAGATTGCCCAAAAAATTAATAACAAAATTTATAGAGGGGAAAAAACAATTTTCTTTAAACCAGAGGAGAGGAGAAAACTTTTCTTTTTCTTGTTTTTTAGAATGTGAATAAAGGTGTATTTATAGGATTGAGGGGAAGAAGATTCTTTTCAATTTTCCGATGTGGGACTAAAACACAAGGCAAAATTGCCTTTTCTTAATAAATATCCAACAGTTTCATGCCCGCAGAGAAGCCAAGGTCCGAAGTATGTGTTGCTGGATTTAATCTCATTATTTCACTTTGATATTTTTCCAAAGTTTGCCAGGTCTTCATAGGGGTTGGAAGGGTAATAGTACTACCGGTGATCTATGCTCTGTTGCCGATGAAATTATCAAAACATATCTACTTCAATTGTCCACTCCCGAAGAAGGAAGTTTGGGACTTCTTCACTGACAAGATGGCAGGAGTTAATTAATCTCAACTCTCACGATCTTTCGTCTCTCATTCTAAGCAGAGGAAGTTTCCTCACTAAGATCACATCGAGGATGCTTAGAATCTTTTACTACCTGCAGCTTATTAGTGCATATGGCGGCTAGAAATAATTTCATTTTCAAGGGCTCATAGTGGAGAGTACGTAGTAAGATTATTGCTAATTGTGTATAATTTCTAAATATTTGGATAGGCATACTGATATGGTTTTAAAACCATCAGTGGATAGGAGTGATTATGCTAAGGGTGGTGCATAACTACAAGAAAAGGAATTTGAGTCCGAATATGATTTGTTTTGATTACAAATAGGATTTTTTTTAGGAGTGGGAATTTATTTACAAATAGAACTTATTTAGAAATAAAATATTTAATTGCTTATATGTGAGGGGTTTTTGAGCAAAAAACCAAAATAGTGGTTATTTAGGCCGACTATGTATTAGGGTTTCTTTTGTGTGTGCATGCGCGCGTGTGTTTTTTTTTTCCCGGTGAAGAAAAACTTTGGAGACTTATCAATAAAATTAGGGCTCATGGGGAAGCTTACTTTCGTAATTCCATGTTCATTCTTGACATTCTTGGGTTACGTATTTTACTTGATTCGTTAGTGATTGCATAGAGCTTAATATAGATTGATGTTGTAAAACCCCATAAATTTGAATATATGGTGATAAATATTACTTATTGATGATTGAGTATGCTAGGAATTGATTTGAGATCTATTCAATGTATATATGTGAGTGTAGAAGAGAATCATGCACAAAACATGCACAAACAGACTGATTTCAGTCTGCCTAGTCGACTACTACCCTTAGTAGTCGACTAGTAACGTGATTAGTCGACTAATAATGGTATTAGTCGACTAGTCAAGTTGATTGCTAATGGGTTTTGGGTCGGGTTCGTTTTGTTTCGAGCCCAGGCTTATATCTATGTATATATACATGTTTTAAACCCTATTCATGCACTTTTCAAGTGAGTTCACAGTCACCCTCTCCCTTCAAACCCTAGATCTTGTTGTTTGCATTTCTCAAGGAGATTCGAGACATATAAGCGTGCGGAGGGCGAGATCGTGGGCTTTTTGTCGAAGAGAGATCTTGCACACGTGTTTTGAGGAGCTGCAGCACGTTGTTGAGGCAAGATCATCTTCACCCAAACCCATCCCTATAGTTAATTCATGATTTAATATGTTTAATTGATGAATCTCGTGTTAAAACTTAACCTGATATGATAAAGTTTAGATTTTTTATGATTAAATCATTAACCAATGCTAGATCTATAGTTTTTCTTACTGTTTATATTAGATTCATAATCATGATCATTAGGGTTACTTTTAATTGTGTTTTTAATATGTTAATCATGCTCTAATCATGTTTAAATCCTAGTTTAACAATTATTTGAGTTTTCATGTTAATTAAAGATGTTAAAACCCTAGGTTGGTGATACCTAAGTAACATAAACATGTTTAAATGAAATTACTTCTGTTAAATGTTCAGATTTTACCATGTTTAGTTAATCATGTTGATAATTTATGTGTTATTTGAGAAATTTGGTTAATTAGGATGTTAACCCTAATTTGATTAATTTAAGAGCTTAGATATTATTGAGATAATCTATGTTAAATAATTGTCAAGTTTTTAATCTTGTTTTATGCCTCATGATGATAGAATTTGAGTTTTGAATGAGTTATAATATACGAAACATACACAGAAAATCAACAGACTGATTTCAGTCTATCCAGTCGACTACTACTGTTAATAATCGATTAGTAAGGTGATTAGTCGACTAATAAGGGTATTAGTCGACTAGTTAGGCTGCTTCTTGTTGTTTCTTGAACTTTTGAGTTATGATTGTGGGGTTCGAACCGTACGATGATACATGTACAGTCATGAGTACACACATATAGTGTCGTAGCACACGCATGGATATCCCGATTGGAATTTGACAAGTATTGATATGTTTACACCTGAGATAGAGGTTGATTACACAGTTATATACATGTTGGATATCGTTGATGAGTACCACTCAGTACTACATGGAGTAGTGTGTCGATATACCATTAGTACAGGCCATTGAGTCGGGTTAAGAATGTTTCACCTAGCAGTCCATCCCGTACTAGGGTGTGATGGGCTTGTGAGCCGTATTTCTAGGATACCTATTTGGTAGTCCGTTCCACACTCATGTTACGTACAGAGATGCGATGAGACTAATAAGCCAAGTACACAGTTAGGATACCGACTTGGTAGTCTGTCCCGCATGATAATACGATGAATCATAACTTGCAAGGATTTGCATTGTGACGATTACTCGATAGCCTGAGTCTTTGGTGGATGCTATTTATGAACATGACTCGTCGCCGAGTTATATTTGACTGGGGTACTTTGCTCTTGAAAGTACGTGGGATTATATGCTGATATTTATTTTATCTTCCAAGTGATAGTGGAAGATATTATAAATATAATATTATGATGTATTTAGTTTCCTGTACTATTTTCTTTATTTCTTAGTTGGAATAAATGATTAGCGATTTATAATTTGAGACATATGGTATATACAAGAGGGTTTTCTTGTTTGGATTATTTCGCTCGACGTACTAGTCTCGTGTTGTGAGTTTCTAATTGTTGATTACATTTATGTTATTTATTCCTAGTTCGGTATTAATATTTAGTTATCTACAATTTGAGACATATGGTATATACATGAGAGTTTTTTTATTTAGATTATTTTGCTTGACGTACTACGTCTTGTGTTGTAGGTTTCTAAATATTAATTCTACTTAGATACAGGGTAAATGATCTAGGTAGACTATACTTAATAGATAGGACCTCCACTACATCTAGCAATCCTTCCCATAGGGGCGGATGGAGGTGATCTTACTATAGCACTCTGACGCTCTTGTTGTTGTTCTTTTTGTTGTTTTCATTCCTTTCAAGCAGTTCAGAGTTTCGGAGAGCTGCAGGATGACGGACTTCCAGCATAGTCACCGTCACTCAGTTTTGGTAGTTGAGACTCTACCATAGATTTATATTTATTGTTCAGATATTAGAGTTTTATATTTTATTTTGTAAAGGCTGTGTGCCTTAGTTCATTTTTCAGTTGACTCATTGTTTGGTAGGAAAATCGAATAAGAAAATTAAGAATTAAATTTGTTTTATTCTCTCACTAGTAAAAATTCTCATATCCTAGATGGAATATTCTAGATGGATTTTTTTCTGTCTAGTTTAATATTAAACTAGACGGAAAATTTTCGTCTAGAATAAACATTCTAGATGAAAATTTTCGTCTAGAATAACATTTTAGACGGTTCTTTTATTTTATTTTATTTTTTTTAAATAGGCTAAACTTCCTAGACGGAAAATTTCATCTAGGATACATCCTAGACGGAATTTTCTGTCTAAAATGATTGCCCCCTTTTTAAAAATAAATTTGAAAATTCCCACCATATTTTTTCCATTCCTCCTTTCCGCCCTCAAATCCCTATCTCCAAATCCCTCTCCCTCTCCCGCTTTTGAGAGAAAATCCTGATCCCCAGCTCGCTCAACTTCTTCCCCAAATTCAAACTTAATCCACCATCGTGAAGCTCGCCCTCTCTCCTTGTTCCCATCGAAACCCTAACCCTACTCTCTCCAAAACCTCCTCCAATGTCTCCCCTCCCTCACTCCCCTCTCAACGATGGCCAGCCCTAACTCCAAAACCCTAACCCTAAAACCCTCGGTCTCCACCTCCTTCACCGAAGAGCGCCTCCGCGAATACAATCGCCGCCGCCAAGCATCCTCCTCCTCGAACCCCTACCTCTACCTCCGTAGCCTAGGCCTCAGCCCCGGCCGTGAGAGCTTCGCCTCCTCCGCTCGAACCTCGGCCTCCTCTGTTAGGTTGGGGGTGGATACCAACCTCCACCGGCGGAGGAGCTCCGATGAGCTCCAGGATGGCGCAGGCAAAGCTCGAGCAGTTGAGCTCGAAATTGGCGAACGCGATGGTGGCTTTGGCGAACGCGACCCTCGGTGTTTTGGCGTTCAGAGCTCCGACCTCCGCGTTCAGCACCCCACGCTCGCGGTTTTGGCCTCCGACCATCGCGTCCGAGTTCGTGCGCTGGCGACAGGCTGTCGCCAGCCCATCCATCCCGCCTATAAAATGCCCCCCTTCGATGCCCTAGGGTTGCTTCTCCTCTCCCCCGATCTCTCTGGCGGCAGATCCCCTTTTAACGCAGCAGCGTTCAACTTCCCAAATCGCAGCAGCGATTTTAATCCCCAGCTTTCAACAGTGGTTGAGGGGGATTTAAATAGAGAGAGAGAAAATAGAAGAGGGGTTTTTTATTGTGGGTATTAACACTGTAGCTACAGTGTTCATTTGAGGAATCTCAGTTTAGAGATTTGCTCTTGATTTGTAATTTCTTGTTAGATTGATAAGAAATTGACTGTATGACTCCTGAGGACGTAGGCAGTTGCCGAACCTCGTAAATCTTAGTGTACTTTTTCTATTCTGTGTTTCCGTTGCATTAGGGGTTTAGGCATTAAATTCCCAACAACTGGTATCAGAGCGTGAAACGATCTAGAGGAAGTCAGATTCAAGTGGGAGCCATGGCCGCAGATGAGGGAAAGGTGAGAATAGAGAAGTTTGATGGATCAGATTTCGGATTCTGGAAAACGCAGATAGAGGATTATCTGTATCAGAAAAATCTGTATCAACCACTATCGGGGAAGAAGCCGGAGGGTATGAAGGAAGAAGATTGGAATCTTCTGGACAGAAAAGCCCTTGGGGTTATTCGTTTGACGTTAACCCGTAATGTTGCTTTTAACATTACAAAGGAGAAGACCACGGCGGGTCTTATGGCAGCACTCTCAAATATGTATGAGAAGCCATCAGCCTCAAATAAAGTCCATTTGATGAGGCGGTTATTCAATCTGCGAATGGCGGAAGGTGCATCGGTAGCACATCATCTCAATGAACTCAATACAGTCACGACCCAATTGAGTTCAGTTGACATTGAGTTTGATGAGGAAGTTTGGGTGTTGATACTTTTGTCTTCCATACCAGAGAGTTGGAACGCTACAGTCACGGCAGTGAGTAGCTCGTCGGGAAAGAAAAAGTTGAAGTTCGACGACGTTCGTGATATGGTTCTCAGTGAGGAGATCCGACGGAGAGAGACGGGTGAAGCTACAACCTCTTCAGTATTGCATACAGAGTCAAGAGGTAGAAGTTCAACCGGAGGAAATGGATCAGATGATAGGAGATTCAAATCCAGAAATCCCAACAGTTTGAAGGCTATCGAGTGTTGGAAGTGCGGGAAAACCGGGCACTACAAGAATCAGTGCAGGAGTGCACGGGAGGAGTGGGAGGCAAATGCAGATGTGAACGTTGCTTCCACCTCAGGAGGAGATGATGCGTTGATATGCTCTTTGGAGAGCAAGGAGGAGTCTTGGGTGTTGGACTGGCTTATTGAGTATAAATGTAGTAAATTCATTTGTCAAGCTCGTTAGTGCCATCAACGGAGGATGGATGGAATATACGCTACAACGAAGATATCCAAAGGAGGTGGAGGCCAAGAGATGAAGCAACGTTATTTTAAGAACTTCAAATTCGAATACAAGCTTCATCCGATTCAAGCTATATCAAAGCTCAAGTATTGCTCTCTATATGAGGATATTAGCTTTCTTTTGTTTTTCTCTCTAGTGCTAGAATGTAGGCAAAGAGTTACTGATTTTACTTGAAGCTATTGGGAATCACACACGTTTTCATACTTATGTTTTTAAGCGTTTTTCACAAAATACTATTTTTCATAAGTATGAGGACCTATCTGCAAAATTCTTTTTCCAAGCAGTTTGTTTTTAATATTAAAAACATTTTACAAAGTTTCAGAATTTTCAGAGGTCAAATAAATATTTTGCAAATATTTCAAGTTGGGTCAAAATCTGTTTTCTACAAAATATCAGAAAGTGGTCGACCGGTCCGGTCGACCGCTCCCATAGTCATTTGTCAGTATTTTCCAGAGAGGTCATCGGTCGACCGGTGCGGTCGACCGAAATTTCGATTTTCATATCGGTCGACCGCGCCGGTCGACCGATGATGGCTCTGCTTGTTTTCTATGTTTTCAAAGCGGCTGGCGGTCGACCGGTTTTTAGGTCGGTCGACCGACTAAATTTTTCGGTCGACCGAAGGATTATTTCGGACAACCGAAATTCCCTTCAGTCAACCGCGACTTTTTTTTAAACGGTCATTTGCCTAGTAAACTGCGCTTACACTTAACTGTGTTTGGCACAGTCTAAGATAAGGGTCTGTAAAGGAGATTATTATCCTATTTGGGAAGATTGGGTTTTGTTTTAAATTGATTTAATCTCTTCTATAAAAACCCCAGACTTCTTCTTCTCCCTCAGTCCTAATGTTTGCAAAAACCAGAGAGTCTGCTGTTTCCTGAGAAAAATTTTCAAAGTCTGGTTTCTGTGTTTTCTCTCTGTTTTTAAGTGTGATTCACTCCAGCGTTCATACTCTTTCTCTTTGCTAAGGGCTGCTGTAAAGAGAGATCTTGCATCATTTTTCCTGCTGTGTGAGTGAGATCTTGTGTCAGATCAACTGTGAGGGAGTGTGTCTGTTGAGATCAAACTTGTGTAGTGAGAGAGATCGTGTGGGATCGCTGTGTAGACGAAGTTCCGCGCTTCCAAACCGCGGGTGGAGTGGATTTCTCTCGAGAGTGGGGACGGGGCACGTAGTCAGGGCCGAACCTCGTTAAAGCATCGGCGTCAAGGATAACGGATTTCCTTAACCTATCTCTTTACTTTAAATTGCATTTACTATTGTGGTTTGGCTTTGTGTTTGATTTTTTATCTGGCATATTAGAGCCTCTTGGACCCTAATCACCCCCCTCTAGGGTCCAACAATTTGGTAATCAGAGCTTGTCTCTATTAATCAGTTTTTATTTTAAGCAACCTTTAGAGAAAAGCATCGCAATGGAGGCCTCTTTAAATATGCATATGTTAGAAGGACAATCCCACTAGACCACCCACTCTTAACACGGCGACAATTTTCTATTGGAAGCGTAAGGATGAGACATTACCTCGTTTGCTTGATCTGACATCCATAGGGCTCATAGAAAAGAAATATGTAGGAGAGTCCAAAGTCGCGACACATTCCGATGATGAAAGCCACCTTACGCAAAATCTCAATGCTATAGCGCATGAACGCTTAATCTGCTGGTCTTTTCACCCCATGAATTACAATAGGTTTCCACGTGTTGCAACCGCATACGAGGAATTTGCGGTAAAGTTATGTATAGAGCACATGAAGGAACCCCCCAAGTTAAGGGAATCTAAGGATT